TCTCTCTCTCTCTTATCCTATCACTACCTGGGATGGACGTCAAATCGGAGATCATAACCCCTGAGAGGGCTCTCGTTTCCTGGAGGTTAAGGTGTTGGCTTTTTATTCCAAGGTCCAGGGTTCGAATCCGGGTAGCGACCGAAAAGTTTTTCTTCTCTAAAAGTATATCCTTTCACCTCTTTTCCTACTCTCTAGCAATGCTCTGTCGTCTGCTTTCGTCTCCTCTTTCTGCTCCCACCCCCTCATCTCATTTTGCCCCGTCCTCTGGGCTCCTGACTTTTTATACTGCTACTCCTTGGTTCATTCTTACTGCTGCCTTTCAGCCACACCCCTAATCTTCTGGTAGGAAAGATCTACACCTAGCCTTCTCGGGCAAGGGCGAAAAATCTGGGAGGGCCCGCTTGCAAGTTGCGTACGTTAAAGATCCTTTGGTAGTCTAAAATCGATAAGAGTAGGCTTCAGCCACCACCCGGGCAAAATTCAAAATTTCCTACCAACTGAAAATGTTTAATGTGTCCCTTGCGCTCATTTGACCTTACGCAGTTGAGAACGCCGTAAAACACTTACCAAGAAAAAACAACAACAACAACAAAAACAAAACAAACAATACACCCTGAGGAACTTTAATTGAGTTGAAAGATACCATAAATCCGTTTCTCATAAAATAGAACCCCCCACCCCTCTGCCTCCACCTCCTTCTCCCCTCATGCACACACTCTAGAGAATTCAAAATTCAGACTTCCTTTGTGTGGTTCTAAGACGATGGGTTTTGATCCTAAACCATTAATACTCGTATCAGAGCACAAACACCGTGTTTCCCCACTGACAAATATTAATTTCCTGAACGTGTAATAACTGTTTTCATTATTCCCACCCTTTCTCAGAAAACGGAACAAAATGCGTTACGTGGCAGCCTACCTGTTAGCAGTTCTTGGCGGGAACGAGGCTCCTTCCGCCTCAGACATCAAGACTATTCTGGGCAGTGTGGGAATAGAAGCAGAGGAAGACCGACTGAACATGGTCATCGCCCAGCTGAAAGGAAAGGACTTGGAGGAGCTCATGGAGGAAGGTCAGAAAGTAGAACAGTAACGCCATCGGTCTAAACATAGAGCTATTTCCAATTGTTGTAAAACGAAACAATATTGTCCCATTATATTTTTTAAAGTGTATTA